ACGGATTTAATGTTTCACCAATTACAACGGGTGTCCGTTGGAAATGTCCATTGTAATACTGGTGACCATTCGAATTCTGCGATTGAATTCCAACGGGCATCCGTTGGAATACTGGTGACCATTCGATTTCTGCGATTCAATTCCAACAGATGCTCGTTGGAATTTAACATTTTAAAAAAAAAACCTCAGAATACAAATAAATATGAAAATATTCTTCAAAATACAAATAAATATGAAAACAATAAAAAGAAACAAGTCTACATAGAATCTTCATCACTTTCATCATCCGGAGTTGTATCATGGTCCGAAACGAATTCGTCTATATCGTCTTGTACGTGTAACGAATCATCAAGTAACTCGTCGTCTATGTCAGGAAGTGCAAGTGTCTCGTCGTAATCATCATCTAGTCGGATGGGAAGAACCGGATCTTCGAGTTGCTCTTGCATTGGTTCATCGAGATCTTGTGTTGTTGACGACGAATCCACGATTAATCTTCGTGGGTTAATCTTCAAAACAGCCGACCATTGATCTTCCCGTCGCCGTTTCACCGATGTCGCAGAATGTTTCGGATATGGAATGAAGCATACCTGGTCTGCCTGATCTGAAAGTATAAAAGGATCGTACTTTGCATATGAACGTTTCGGGTAGGGGTGGGCACTTCGGTTCGGGAATTTAGTACCGACCCGATCCGTCCCGAAACCGAACCATATCGAACCGAACCGAATAACGTTTGGTTCTAATTTGGTACACTTTTTATGGAACCGAATGAACCGTTCCCGAACCGAACCGTATGAATACCGAACCAAAATTCGAATATTCCACTAATATATGTGTAAATAGTATAGTTCGATACTTATTTGGTATTCATATAATGGTACCGTTTCGAACCGAACCGATACTAAAACCGAACCGAACCGAACCGTTTAACATTCGGTTCTAGTTTGGTACACTTTTTATAAAACCGAAAATACCGTTCCCGAACCGAACCGCTTGAATACCGAACCGAAACCCGAAACGCCCACCCCTAGTTTCGGGTTTATGTCAATACCTCCCCATCGATTTTTCCGTGAGCCGCGTCCCGACGTTGTATCAAACCAATCACATCTGAATATGATTGTTTTCAACCCGACTAATCCTGGCTGGATACTGGAGTTGGAAAATCTGACGAAGAACCCCAAAGAAATCAGGATCTTCCGATGACCCGCTTTTTATACAAACTCCGTAATTGAACGTGGATTTATGTTTTCCATGATCGTAAGTGTGAAACGTGTATCCTCGGGTGAACATTATCGACTAGCAAATGACTTTTCTTCCAGGTCCATGTGATATATCTCTGATCCATGCCGGAATTCTATCACTGCATGACTGAATCTGCGCATAAAAATTAAATTAATACACAAATACATACACGTACATATATATATATAGCTAGAATACTTACGTAGTCTCGAAGCCAAGATGCATAATGTTGTTCCTTCATTCCTTCAAGTTCCTCCCCACTTAGGTTAGGATATGTTGCCAAAACATCCTCGTCAAAAAGTCTTACAAAAAAAAGTTGTTAGCAAATATATATGTAATTAATTAATTTCTAATCACATCTAAGATTAAAAAATGTGTACCTTTCGTATGGCTTAAGTTCTTCACAATTCAACAGTATATATGTGGCGATGTGATTGTACTCTTGTACAGTTAACCAATATTCTTCAGATTTGCCTCCGAGGCGTCCAGTAGGCTGAAAGCTTTCGGGAATAAGTCCGAAACATGAATCATAGTGGTAGAGATAACTTCTATCGTCTTCGTTGATAGCCCTCCTTTTCTTCGTCTGAATATGAGATTCAAAATAGAAAGAACTGAAGTAGGAGATCTCCTCTAACAAATACTGTTTGACGATAGATCCTTCCACTGCTGCTTTGTTTTTAGCCTTTTTCTTCAGATGGAAAAAAAATCGCTTAAATGGATACATCCATCTAAACTGTACTGGACCACCGTATATCGCCTCATCTGGTAAATGAATATGTAAATGTTCCATCACATCAAAAAATGAAGGTGGAAATACCTTTTCCAATGCGCAAAGTATCTCAGGAATGTTGCCTTTCAAAACCTCTACATTACTTCTTCTCAGAGATCTTGCACATATATCTCGAAAGAATGTGCTGATACCGCATAACGCTCCGTGGACACTGGGTTTCAATAGCTCCGCAAATGCAATAGGAATGAGTCTTTGCATGAATACATGGCAATCATGACTCTTCATTCCCATAAGTTTTAATGAATCAGTATCAACACATCGTGCCAATTTGGATGCATATCCATTAGGGAATTTAACCTCTTCATTTAACCATTTAAACAAGATCGTTTTACCTGGTTTTGTGAGTCTGAATATCGGCACAGGTGTGTGACCATCACATGTCAACTCCAACTCTTTTCTTTTGCATATATCTTTCAAGTCCTTCCTCGAGTTGATGTTATCTTTACTTCTCCCTGGCACATTCAGAACGCTGTTGATGATGTTATCAAAAAAGTTTTTCTCTATATGCATAACATCCAGATTGTGTCGAAGCGTTAGCGAACTCCAATAAGGCAAATCCCAAAAAATACTACGCTTATACCAGTTATGCCAATCACCAAATCCTTTGCACTTCTTATGCCCAAAATTTCCTCCACAATGCACAGAAGCTTCCAAATCATCCAAACATCCACTATTTATTCGCTCAGAATAAATTTGCTCTCCGATTTGCATAACAGGACCTTCCTCAGTAACGATTTTACCTTTGGTAAAAAGCGTACGATTTTGTCTGAACGGATGATTCCTTGGAAGAAATCTGCGATGACAGTCAAACCAGCACGACTTTCTCCCATGTCTCAACTGAAACGCTTCTGTTTCCTCCATGCAAAACGGACATGCAAGTCTTCCATGTGTGCTCCATCCCGATAGCATGCCATACGCCGGAAAATCACTGATCGTCCAAAGAA